TTTTGGTAACAATAAGGCAAAACAGGAACAATAATTAACAAATAATTATCATCCCACTATTATATTAGTAATTTCCATGAGCTGTAGTTCCCCACTGTGCCTGTTAAGTGAGGGAACGCTCTCTCACGGTATTATTTAGAATTCTAATCATTATTCAATAGAAACATGGAGGTCAGAGGTGACTGCAGCGGTTTTGGTCTGGTAGTTTGTACTTCCTGCGTGTCATTTCCTGCTGTGATCCCGCCTCTTGCCCTAACCTCCTCCTACCTGTGAGAATTCTTTAAAATCTTTTTTTTCCTTCTCTATTTTAGTAACAAAATGGCAGCAACCGTATCCAAAGACAGACCGAGTCTGTGGGGGGCCTGAGGGGAAAATCTGATTACAGGGAGGGAGGAGAGAGACTGAAAGAGAAGGTCTTACAAGACATTGAAAGGTTTCAGAAGAGGAATAAGGCCGAAACAAGGTACAATAAAAAAAGGAAAATGGGTCATTCACATACGCTTTGTTTTCTTGGCAAAAAAGGAACAGGTACAAAAGAAGCCTTTTTCCATCGATTAATCAGCATCAATTCATTACAAGAAAAAGGTTGCTGAAACCAGAAAAAAAAGCAGTGGAACAGTTTAACATTCGTTACAAAGAGAAAGGCCATTTTGGAGTTAAGTGCGTGTAAACTGAGCATGTGGTTAGTGCGGACACTACTTTATTTGGAGGTGTACTTCCAAAAGAATCACTCTTGGTCACTGTAACTGGGTGATACTATATAGCTTTATATATACACAAAGACTCCTATAGGCTTTTGTACATCAAGAGTATATATACAATGGGTCTGCCTGTGTATAACTGTACATATACATGTTCACTGGGTGCTTATGTACAGAAAGCAATCGTCAATTATAATTGGGGCTTTGAGATTTTGGCACAAAGAACCAATTAGAAAGAGGAAAAACATGGCAGTGCTTTTTAGCTCAAAGAGGGCTGGCACAGTCCAGTGGCTACAGAAACAGTTTTGGATACAGAATCGTCAAGCTCAAGATCGCCCAATCCTATTTCAAAGCGGTATGGCCTAGCCAGGTCCAGTCCAAGCAATACCGTACAATATAGTCCTCTCCAGTACAATCCAGTCCAGGTCAAGTACCATTCAACACGGCGAGTGTGTGTCAATCCTATAAACTCCTGCTCTGTGTCCAGTTGAAACGAAAGCAAGAGGTACAGGTGGCCATTACTGATCATACTGCAGCCTGTGAAATGAAACAGTCATGAAAGAAGACAAGGCCCAGTGTTTTGGTTCTCGAATCTCACCATGCTGCCCCTCAAGCCCAGGGGTCTCCAGCCCTGATCCCCGACAGCCCAGTCCAATTTCTAAAGACACAGATCAACT